TTTCTTATACCTGATGTTTCAGATTCCTCGTGTCCTATTGGCCTCTGGAAGGCACTCAGAGCACGGGTTAACGCGAGGTGACGTACAGTATTTGGGCCGGAGGCATGCTGTTATTTTTGAGAGGATGACATTTTTCCTGCAGCCTCGCTCGCCGTCCTTGCGTTCCCCCTGTTGCTCGTCTCTGTGCCTCCGTTTCCTTATTATCCTCTCGTCTCCCTCACTGATCGTCTGTCTTTGCATTCTCTTATTTTTAACGCTTCTCGTCTCGTCTGTCTCTTTTTCTTTCTGTCTCTGTAACAAGATGACCTTTTTAAGTGGACCGGTGCTTCAGCGCCATCAGCTAAATTAAGGACAACACTTTGACACTGGGACACACACACACACACACACACACACACACACACACACACACACACACACACACACACACAGAAAACCTTGTTGCTGTCTCTGCCTAGTTAGCTGTGACAGTGAATGGCTGTTAACAGGTCAGTGCCTTCAGAACACCTCAGGTTCTCCTCTGATGATACCGAGCTCGAAGGCCTCGTGTGAGTCCGTGTGTGCACGTGTGCTTCATCCTTCTTGATGCATGTCTGGTGTTTCCATCCCGCTGGTTTACTGTCACATCAAAGTGGGGCACAAACAGAGGAGTTTTCGGTTTAGCATCATGAGCGTTGTGTGAAGGTGAGACAGCGAACAGAGAGCGAGCGCTGACCTCAGCACAGGTGATGAAATGCTGCTGACGCTGGCAGAGGTCCACATCTGAGCGGGTTCAGTCAGTCGCTGTCACATTTTCTTCTTTATTACAAAGGATTTATTACATCAGGTTTCACATATAAACACACAAAGCAAAGCTTGAAAACAGCACAAAGACACTTTAGAGCAACACAAACTGAAATCAGCTGACTTTACCGTCAAGACGCAGAAAGAAATAATTATTTTTCTTTCTATCCGCCCGGCATGGAGGTAACTGAAGAACCTCTGTAATGACATAATTGTAGCTGTAATCTGATTACTGCATTCAGTACAGTAACACAGTATATATGACAGGAAATAAGGAAAACCTGAGCAGGTCTACTGTAACTCATGTTCAAATACAGAATGTGCAATACTTGTGTAAATGTTATCCAAAGGTTAAAGCGATGAATCACCTTAAACAGCGCGGTGACAGCAGCTACCGAGTGCTGTGGCTTTTAAATGAGCAGCGGCGGAGCAGAGCTGTGAGGCGGTGCGACTGTGAAGAGCACATTTAGTGTTTATGGGCAGACAGGTAATTGAGCGAGTCCCGGGAGGCCGGACCAGCACCTCTGACCTGCTCCTGTCACATGCATGGCTGCCAACAGTTACTCTATTCGTCTACAGCCCTGTTATTCTCATTTCTTCCTGATTTTATAGGTTTCTCTCCCTCTCTCTCTGTAACACCGTCAGAAACATATTTAGACTTGAATCTGGTCCGCCGTGTTTTTCTATGTGATATTTGACCTAAAAGGTCTTTTGATAGCTGTAGCAGAATCCATCTCTGTTGAAAGAACAAGCAGCTAAAGTGCTAGCTAAGAGACAGCAGGGTTATTATGCATGATAGCAGAGGGCTGCTTTCTTTCCCGACTGCCGGAAGCCTCATTTTCCGAGTGCACATAAGGCACAGACCTGCACACACACAGGAGCTGACATCTTGGCTTCTACGCTAATACCTAACATAGATTTTCTGCATCAGCATGCAGGCTGGCGGACAAGGGAAGAAGTGCATAAACAGGATACAAACCCACATGCATATATACATGTACACCAGGATGCTTAAGAACAAAACAGCCAAACACAAACTGGCACGAACACTTCCATTCCTCAGATAGACTCTGCTCTTCTTCTTCTCTGCTCTTTCCCCATTAAAACATGTAGCTGAATATGAATGAAATCCCCACAGTGTGAAGCCTTCCCTCAGTAGACTGCTGCAGCTCCAGCCACACTTTGTAAATTAAACAGTTTTTTTACACACTTGCAATTTACATAAAAATGTTCCCCAGTCACTGGAGATATAAAGATTTTGTGACACAAAATACCTCATTACTTCCACATTTGCAGAAGAATAGGAGAATACTGTAAGCAGCATTTCGAGCTTGTAAAACTAAAATGGGGGAGCCTCGAGCGTCCACAGCAGCTACCTTTCAAAGAGACGGCACCGCCGCTGCAAAAAGTGAAGCTTACTTGTACACTTGAAAAATGAAGGCACCCGCAGACTAAAGCTGGAAATCGGCATCATATATGTTACCCTGCGACTGCGCTGCAGCATAGGCAGCGGGTTTGTCGTGGTCTTGATGAAGACAGAAGATGAATCTGAGGCTACTGAAGATGAAGAATGAGTTTTTATACAAATCAGATTCTGTATTCTGACAAAGCAAAGCGGCAAGGTGCAAAGCGATGCACCAGATTTCCAACACTGGCTTCACACTGGTGCTGTAGCAAACCAGCCTGAAATACTAGAGGACAACAGTCCTTTATTGAAGAGGTTCTGTTTTGCTTTACTCACTCATTAGATTTACTGGAGGTGCCAAAACTACTTGGTCAGTCTAGGAAGAAGCTGTGGTTCAGGTTGAAAAAGCAGAAATGTTGCTGGAGGATAGGCCTGTATATCTGTTATGCCTGTTTCATGCAACTGCGTCAGATTAAGCAACTATACAGATATAGTTTCTTTCCATACCTACGCAGCTACAGCAGCAACAATAACTCCATCACTGACAGTCAACTGAGTTAGTGATGGAACTGAACCAAGAACCAGCGTGCACGTCACTATGCTCCAGAACAGCATGGTTTCCATCCATTAGGCCAAGCTTCACACAATAAACTGATCAGCTGCCGTGCATGGCACTCGCCTTCTTTGTGGGCCCAGGAAAGATTGGGCCTTGCCTTGTGTAACCTGTCTTTATAATTGATGCCAGCGGTTTTAAATGATGATTCTCTCATAATTATGTCGAAGGCCTCAATATTTCACTTAGAAATGTGAATTCTTAGTGCTTTAACCACTTTGGGAAGCCAAGCATGCAGAAGCTTGTTTTCCTAGAAAATGTTGGGTTTTAGTTGCTATGGCCACAGATGCAGAAAAGGAAAGAGGGCACAACTTCTTGAAGATTGCTGAAAAACCTCCACAGAAAGGCTGAAGATGCTTCACCTGCCCTTGGTTCAACGGTGAAACAGTAGAGGTGCACACTGTGCACATCAGGGTTCGGTGAGGGGGTACAGCCGGCTCTGAGACGCAGAACTCTGAACAATATCAATCAAAAGCCAATAAATATGTCAAATAATTTAATGGTCTAACTTCTTATCTTCTCTTTTCTAATCTTAAAGCTACACCCTGAAAAGAAGGGAATAGGAATTTAATATGTGCTTCATATCAGTTCAGGGCCTCTAGTGACTCGATATGTCACATAGTGTGAAAAACAGCCCGAGAATTTAACCCCAGAGGTAGAGCACAAACCTGAAAACGAATAAAAGAAATATAAAACAAATAATAATAATTTAAAATGTAAAGACAATAAATTGAATATACTGAAATCTCTCGTGGGACACTTTCCTCACTGGTTGCCTTTCATGCCTGCTGGTTTTGTCTTATTCCAGCTAAAATGATCTCAGCCTGATTTGTTTGGATCAGAGGTTTTTTTTTGCTTTTTTCCTCCCTCTTTATTTCTAAAGTTTTGCACATGTAATTTGACATATCAGGCCCAATACAGCAAGTACCAACCGATATAAAGACATATATCAAAACAAATTAGGCCATTAAAATTCAGATGATAACAAAAAAACACGAAAAAAGAAAGAAAAAAAAAAGGAAGAGAAACAAAAAAAAACCCAACAACAGCCCACGCACAGAGAACAACAACAACAACAAAAAACCACAAAAAATAAAATAAATTTAAAAATCAACTCCCTCCCAAAACCATAACAAAATGATCAGAGTTTAAGCTGATTGGTCCAATCAGTGTTGCCCCGGGAACGTCACTGGATCAATGTAATCTCTTTGCAGTGTGATCTTTACTGGACTTTAACACAGTTGAAACAGCTGCAAGTCCAAGCAGTTCATTTTATGCCCATCACATCAGAACAGGTGGAGACAGCGGGACCCAATGTTTCCTGTATAAACCCCACCCTTCCTCAGACCCTGTAGAGTCCTTCTTCATTATATACTTTTATTGTACAGCCCTGACCAAAAGTTTATGATCACCTGAAAATCATATTTTGCATAGTTGGATCTTAACAAGGTTCCAAGTTGAGCTTCAACATGCAGAAAATTTCAACATGCAATTTATTGAAAACAACCTTAAACTGAAGCGGGCTGTTTTACAGCTGATCAAACGTTTAGGACCAAGGAAAGAAAAGCGTCTGGACTTCTTTAAGTTGCTTGAAGACGTTTCACCTCTCATCTGAGAAGCTTCTTCAGTTCTAAGGTCAAATGGTGGAGAGTCCCAGATATAAACCTAGTGGGAGTTTCCCCCCAAAGAGGGACAAAGGACCCCCTGATGATCCTCTACCTAATCACATGAGCTGTCTTCAAGCTGTCTTCGCATGAGTCTTCCAGCAACTCAAACAAGTCCAGACGCTTTTCTTTGCAAGCTCCTTAGACTATGATGACCTGGATGACTGAGAACCTTCACAGACGTTTAGGACCACGTGCCTTTAAAAGGCCAAATCTGTGCAAAAATGTGATTCGCTGTCATTTTCTGTCAGGTCACAGTGTCATGACGTTCTGATGGCAAAGGCAGCATGTATTTCTCCTCACTGGAAGATCTCCAATCAAAGACAAGAAGCGACCTGCCTAGCCTGCCATCAGCCTCCGTTATAACTTATTATTGTACATGAATGATTGAGGAGCGTCTCGCTGCTGCACACAGAGGATAGTCTTTACTCTGCATGTCTTTATCGTGATCTGTCTCTCGGTGTTATTGGATGGGAAGTAGACGGTGATTAATTATCTTTCTTCTCTGTTATTTTTTCTGTCTGTGTCTCTCCAGGGAGTTTTTCCTGCCAGCTACGTTCACTTGAAGAAGGCCATCGTCACCAACAGAGGGTAAGTGTGTAAACCTGCGACACTACACTGAGCCTCTGTGAAACCTCAGGCTCGGTTAGACTCACGCTTTCGATGAATTTAACACCTTCACTGACTCCAGCATCATGTTTCAGTTTGAGGGCTGAAAGCAGTCGTGTTGAACATAAAACCAGCAAAAAGCATTTATTGTCCTCTGAGCCTTTCTTTCTCTCCTGTTACTCATTCAGTCATTAGTGTCTCTTTTCTGTCTGAAGAGGATTTTAACCAGAGCTTCACGGACAGAGCGTCGCTAACAGCCTCTGCTGAGAGTGACAATACGTTATACTGCCAAACGTATTCAGTCAGCCCTGCATTTGTTCCAGTCACTTCCACAGGCTTTTAAAATAAATGCAAAGTTTCCTTATTGTCTGACTCACTAATGAAAGCTGCACATGTGGCAGCTAATACCTGCAGGCCAAAACGATCGAGTCTGTTTTTTGTCATAAAGTAGAGAAAAAGTGTATTATTCGTACCACCTGCACATGTGGCGTGGTTTGCAGCACACACATGCACACGGTGAGCCACTGCAATCATCTGTGGGAAACCCAGTCTTGCTTTTAAGAGCACCAGCTCTGCACTTGTTTTCAAGGTACTAATGAGGTTAACATCTTGGAGAAGTTGCCACAGTTTTTCGGTGGATTCAGTCCGAGTCTTCTGCTTGTATGATCCTGGCCTGAGCCTGAGATGTTGATCTGGGCTCTTTGGCGCCCTGCTTCCTGCTGCAGGACTTGCTGCTCTGCTTTCAGCTGAAGAACAGTCTTTGTGAGTCTGGCTGCATGTTTAGATCGCTGTGAGTTTGGGGGCCGATCAGACTCCTTCCTGATGGTGTTGTGAGATAACAATCATCGAACATGCCAAAAGCCTTTTGCACCATACTGTATGTCATCATCTTTTAGTCACTCCAGATCTGATCCGATTTGAGTCGCCCTCGTGTACCGAATGTGGGATGATGCCACAGTCGGGTATATTTTATATCCGCAGTGCTGGGAGGCATTTTTCTTCTTCTGCAGCTAAAACTGTTTAGGAGGTAATTTGATGAAATCTGCTTTTCTGTTGGGATCAGTTGTTTTGAGAGTCATTCTTTCTAAATAAGGTATAAACCTCCTTTTTTCTCATTTCCTTCCAAGTTCAACTGTACATATTTTAATACATTAGCATAATTATTTGGAAAAGCTTTAAAAAAACAAAAAACAAAAAACAAAACCCTCCAAAATTCAGATTAATCAGCGTTACAGAGCGTGTCGCGATTTGCATAAGAGTTTTTTAATTAAAGGCAGAGAGTAAATTAATTGGAATTAGTGAATCTTTTAGAGTTTCAAGTAGGCCCCCGGGGCAGAGACGGAGAGTTGGTGTATTTTACTGAAGGAAGATGGAGGCTGCTGCATGATGACAAACATAATTAAAGACTGTTGATCAAGTGGGTCTTAAAGCAGCAGAGCTTTCGATGTGCACGTGGGTGTGTGTGAGGGAATAAGAGAATTACACTGTGTGTGTCTTCACTGTACAAACAAATGAGCCATGTTCAGTATGAGTTACAGACACTCAAGGGGTGGTGTAGGTGGAGGCGTGTTGCTTCAGGTACCAATTAAAATCCGTACTGACAAACAGAATAAAGCTAGTACTTCATGTTTTACCTCAGGGATGATACGCTGGACCGTGCATGCACTTGATTGGTCAGCTCGGCATTACATCAGCTCGTGTTGAGCCAACTTCAACTCTAAGTTTTCTTGCTGGAGCTCCCTGAGCACCACCTGCTCCCTGCTGCACTTATTCTAACTCACTGATGTTTCTTCTCAGTTCACGAGCACTGTGGTAGTTCAGACTGTGTTGAACCTTTACTGTAATTACAACACGGAGAGAACGTTTGGAAGAATGGAACAAAATTTACTGTGAGAGAAAATCTATTTGGTGATTAGACCCCGATGACCCAACGTGTCATTACGGGATCCCAGCGGTGGCAGGATTTAGGACGGGACCCCCGGAATCAGGACGCTGGTGATTTAGATGGAGGCTTGGATGGAGCTCTGAGTGATTCGGGGGAGGCGGAGATGGGGAGGAGGCTGGTTGCACATATGAGAGCCTGAAAGAGAGAATGACAATGAGGACCGAGATATAATGTAATGATGTAAGTGTTGCGTTTGAGAGCGTGGGAAAGTGGAAGTGATGTAAAGAACAGACAACCAGGAAAAAAGACAGACATATAACTTAGGCGTAAGCTTCATATAATTATTGAATTATGTACATCAATGTTTTACATTACTGCATTAAAGAAAACGGGATGTGATCACAGTAACGTGGTACACCCACCAACAGGGCTCGATCGCTGTGATTGGTCTGCTGGGTAAAAGGTGACCAACAAAGAGTTGACCATCCAGCACTGCTCACAGCACCAAGGAGGATGTCTGCTCTGCATGAAGCAGGCAGCAGGACATCTGTACAGTAGATGCTTCTGAGCTTTAGTGAACCTTCTTTTCATAAAACTTCCACTTTTACTGTCCGGTGAGAATCAGCGTAGTCACTCTGCACCCTAGAAAATCTGACAGTGATCTTTAATGTCTCATGTGTTTGAGACGGCACGGAGAGATTTGAATATCCTTATGTAAAAACTGCAGCATGAGGTCAAATGAGTTTAGCGGATTTTAATTTGTTCCTGTGGAGTCGGCCTGCCTGCGTCCCTGTGTCGATCCACCAGTGTACAGCAGCCTGCAGGTTTGTGCCAGGAAGCTCTCAGAGCTGACATTTACAATTATCACAACCCTGCACTTCATTACTACACATGGAGAGAGAAACCTACTGTACAAGTGCACGCGACACATTTATAGTAACGGTACAAAAAGACTTGAACAGCAAAATGCACCAAAAAAACTTAACAAACAAAAAACACTTGCAGGCATAAAAGAATGAAATCAGGCTCATGTCTGAAGTTAAATGAACACTTTGTGTAGAGCCTGTGTGAGCTCCTCAGTGAGTCTGATCACCTGCTTACTGTTTGTTTGCAGCTCCAGTCAGACCCAGGACCTGACTCTCATCAGGTTTTCTGCACAGTGCATGTGAATCGATTATGAAGTGACAGATTTTTAACTCACCGGATCGTTTGGTCAGTTCTTTTCTGGCATTTTGGCTCCACCTGGACTGACGCGAGGTTTTGCTACATGGAAAAAAAAGTTTGTCCAAATGAATTAAAATGACTGTTCAATAGCAGAAGGTAGCAGCACAATGTTCCTGAGAAGCACTGAAGCATCTGAGGCTGGGAGTTTGTGTGGCTCCCTCTGCAAACAGTCAAACAGGCTGATGGGAGCAGCAGGTCAGTGAAATGCTCTACAGGCTCGTTTTTAATCCTTTATTCCAACAAGTTTAACAAGCAGAATAATTCAAACACTTCAGGCAAGTTCCACTGCCTTTCAAGTTTATGTAAAGAAACAACTGAGCTGACAACTCGGTCAAAACTACCAATAAACTGTCATTAAATACAATATACTCCCAACTGGGTTAGGGTTCTTATTTTTATTGGGTTGATAATTTAGATGAAGATGTCATTTTCTTCCCTACAGGTCCAGTATACCCAGACTTTCTCTCTAATATTGAACCTCATGATTAACAGCTGAAAGTAACAGTAGCACGCTCCTGAAAAGCACCGAAGCCTCAAAAAGAAACACAGATGCTGTAAAACGTACATTTTTTGCACCATTTCTTCTACATTTGAAGGTTTAATACGAGGAGACGATCTGTGCTCCACCAAAAACAGAAATACATTTGTTTTACTAGTTTCTTATTACTTTTATGATTAAAAGAAAATAATTTCATACATACAGAGTTTGAATCTTCCTGCTTGGAGGGTTTCTGCAGATTTCCTTCACACCTGCCTGTTAGCTGGACCTCATTGGTTGTAGGTGCATGTGGTCGCACGTGGACCCACTCTGCTCTGTGTGGACCCACTCTGCTCTGTGTGGACCCACTCTGCACTGTGTGGACCCACTCTGCACTGTGTGGACCCACTCTGCTCTGTGTGGACACAGACTAAAGCTGCACAAATGACAAAACATGCTTATGAACTCATAAATAATGAGTCGGTTACAAAAGACAAATTTTAAAAATGTGCAGTGCATTGTGACATTGTGAATAAATGGCAGTATGTGCAGTTCACATCTAAATGAATAGTTAATGTTACATGCAGTGCTGCGTGTAACCTCTGGGCGCCGTGAACAGTGTGGACGTATTTTTAGAAGCAGTGTTGCGCTGTTTGCACGGTGACCCTCAGCTCAGTGATCGGTGCGGTGAAATGACGGCCGCCCTGCATTTAACCCCAAGTTAATGTCAGCATACGGAGCTTGATGGTTTTCATCTTTGACGCCAGCTTCATGTTTGTGATCCACAGATGGAAAAGAGCACATGTGTTTAAAAAAGAGAGAAAAGTGCTCCGTGTCTGCACGTGTACGCTTTTATCATTTCTTATCAGAGCCAATCATTTCTTGTTCCTTTCCCACTCTTCTGTCATCCTGCCTCGGTCCATTTTCTAACTTTTTGATTTTGAAGCTGTTTCTTAACAATTCAAAGCACCAAATAAACGAAAATAAGACGCTAAAACCAAATCCCTCGTTCTAACTTTGTCTGAGCTGCTTAAGCACCAGGCTGGATTTACTGTAGCTTATCACGTATCATTTAAGGGACAATTTACTCATTATCCTAACTTAATAATGTCACATTTTCCCATGAATGCAGTCTTTTTGAAAATGCAAAGAAAAGCTTTTATACCATTTTGGATTCGTGCTGCAAAGATTGTGGAGCATTAAATAAATTTTATGAAGCACAAAAGAACTTCTCATCTTTTCCGTGTTCGCATTTCAGGGTGACTTGAGCTAATGTAAAACCTAAGAGACCATCAACAGTGAGAGCGGTTTGTTGGGTTCAAAGTGTCATCATCTAATAACTGATTAAGCCATCAAGATTCAAATTAGTTTCATTTAAATACTGCCAGTTCACAA